TTCCATTCCATTCCATTCCATTCCATTCCATTCCATTCCATTCCATTCCATTCCATTCCATTCCATTCCATTCCATTCCATTCCATTCCATTCCATTCCATTCCATTCCATTCCATTCCATTCCATTCCATTCCATTCCATTCCATTCCATTCCATTCCATTCCATTCCATTCCATTCCATTCCATTCCATTCCATTCCATTCCATTCCATTCCATTCCATTCCATTCCATTGATCCATTCAAGCTAATTTTTTTCAACACTATGCATTTATCTTTAAAATATGTACATGTGTGCTAAGGAAAACTGTTGTACAATAAAAGTTTATCGGTGAATTAGCGCATTTGAACAACTGTTTTCCTTCCATCCTGTCTGCTCTTCTCCTTTACTCACACGTCCCCCATCCCTGCAACACCAAGCCCTTCCCCCTTGTCCTCCTACTCGGGGTCTCCCAGACCTCGCAGGGTTCAAGCTCCAGGGTGTTTCCCTCCCCGCAGCACAGATCTGACAGTTAGTTAAATAATTACAATAAAGACTGAGGTTGTGAGTGGGCAGGGAGAACCTCCAAATGTGGACATGGACTTATAAGACATCTGCTACTGCTTCTTCAGCGGGCAGACCTGAAAAATGTGAAGGAAACACTAGGATTAGGAATTGGAATAATTCTCCTTCCTCAAGCCTTCTCCTCACACCCGTTCCTCTGCAGGGACCTTCACCTACACTCTGCCCAAGCTGAGAGCAAAACTCTGGCCTGGAAAATGTACTTCTACGATGGGTGGATACCTCTGGTGAGGTCTAATCACCGATGCAGTCAGCTGACATACCTCTAGGTCAGTGAACAGCCCCTGGTTGTTCTGAAGTATGGCATACATGCAGTGCGCAACGGTAACGGCGTGCTTCCAGTTGTGGTAGGGCACACGGCGATAATTCTTCTTTACAGACATAGTAAATCGGCACAGCTTTTCAAGTTCAAAACTGGAAAGAAATTCGTTTGGTCAGAGACAAGAAATAAGAACAGGAGAAATAACCAGCAGAGGAGAAAAGCCGCTCTTTGATTTCCTCTTCTTGCTGGGACTGACTCTCCTTGCGGAAGCCTCAATGATGACAGGAGTCACTCCAGTTTCGGCAAGGACAGAGGAGCACGGGTACCTGACAATGCTCTGAGTTTGATATGTAAAGTTCTGGAACGTCAGGCAAGCTACCCGGCTCGGGCAACTCAACCGGGCCACCTTCCCTGCTCCCAGGAGCTGGAAGCGTGGCTTCTTTGAATCGCTATCTACTCAACGTGCCAAATGGTGAAACTCTGCATCTAATGGACAATCTGAAAACATCATTGGTGATCAAAACAGAAAATTAGGGGGTCTTAAGCAACTGACATAGAAGAAATCATCTTGTTTAAATTAAAATTTCCGTCAAACGCCAAATGTACAAACTGTTTGGCATATTGTGTTTCAAAAAAGCTTTAGCGTTTCTTTTTTAATTCTAGAGAGTTAAGTCAGACAGCTCTAGCACAACTGTTGAAAACTGCCATTTAAAATACCACATCGTTCTTCAGAATATCATGACAGTCACTTCCATCTACAACTAATATCAACTCAATGGTTACTACGGGATAGTACAGTTGTAGCCAAAGGGAAAACCATCATCAATGATACCCCAACGCAGACTACTATTACTTCCTCCCCTGCTGTATTTTGTACACTTGGTTAAAGCATTAAAAGGTTATTTCTGCATGAGAGCACAGAGCATGTAGTGAGTATCATAGATTTCTCTCCAAAACACTCCCTGGACAGGACAGTTCTTCATTACATTGGGACTGGAACATCTCCCCTACGAGGAGAGGTTGAGGGAACTGGGCTTGTTCAGCCTGAAGAAGAGAAGGCTGCGAGGGGACCTTATAAATGCCTACAAATATCTGAAGGGTGGGTGTCAGGAGGATGGGGACAAGCTCTTTTCAGTGGTGCCCAGTGACAGGACAAGGGGCAATGGGCACAAACTGAAGCACAGGAAGTTCCGTCTGAACATGAGGCGGAGCACGGGAACGGGCTGCCCGGGGAGGCTGTGGAGTCTCCTTCTCTGGAGATATTCAAGACCCGCCTGGACAAGGTCCTGTGCAGCCTGCTCTGGGTGACCCTGCTTTGCAGGAGGGTTGGACTAGATGACCCACAGAGGTCCCTTCCAACCCCTACTATTCTGTGATTCTGTGATACATAGGTGTATACTTAAAGGCACAAACTTACTCCTCAGTATATTAAAAATAAAATTTTAGTCTTAAAATTGCTGTACTTGCTTCAGAGGGTTGGTGAGCTTTGTTCTTTCAGAATTTAAATACACGCCCAGGCCCAACAGCCTGCTTTTCACATGCTTTTCTTACTTTTGTTTCTTTAACATTATATGTGAAAGCTAATGCTCATTTGAAACACGGCGAGCAGATATCAATTCTCTGACATCAGAGTTACACCTTGAAAGAGAGAGACTGGGAGACAGGTGGGGAAAAGAACCAGACTTTGCTGGAAATCTGAACCCCGGTCCTGCACCCACAGCCATTCATTCTGGAACCAAGCACCGAGGGGTGGGGAACTGTATTCAGGACAGTCCCCCGCGTCGCGGTGCTGCGGAAGATGTGACAAAGCCGCTCGGGTTTGACCGCGCGCTTGGCGGGCACAGAGATTCATCCGGTCACGAAGATGAACCAGCCAGCAGGACACGTTTCCCAAATGCGGCTCCTTTGGGCAGGGAGATACTTTCCCTTTCAGCTGCCCATCTGTAGAGAACTTCTACAGTTTGGGGCAGCTCCCTTCTTTCAGCACGGGGACACCCTTAGCCAAGAGACTGCTGATGTTAGTGATGACAATGGACACCCAGAGAAAGGACAATAAATGAAATGTTTCATCTGAAATTCATTCATTTCCATAATTAATGCACAATGATGCCGATAATTGATTTATTTAGCAATATAAGATCTAACCTTGGGTTATTTTAACCATATACTATATTAATTTCAGCAACTATATATCTGAAAAAAAAATACTCGTGGATTTTCTCTCCTTTTTGGCACGAGGGCCTTTAATATCTTCACCATCTTCTGTCTGAAAAGCAGTCTCCTCTCAGAACCAAGCAATACTTCTACGTATTGGAAGGACAACTCTTTGGATGATATCATGAGTTCTTTTATCTGGCTGTTCTCAGATTTTATGAATTGAAGACCAAGAAGCTGGGACAAGAAATCCAGCCTGTGTAGACCAGACATAGTAAATAAAGCCCAAAGAAAGTAAGACCTTGAATTAGAAACTAACGACCTCAAACTTTCCTAATAAACAAACACATAAATAATAGCATTAAAGCAATAAATCATGCACTTCCTACCAGGCTGTCCCACAGGACTGATGAACCATGTAGACAAAAATGGCAGGCCAGACATCCTCGTACGGACTGATATCAAAGTGGTATCTACAAAGAAAGTTTCAGCTTATTAAGGAGAAAGACCTTTTAATTTTTACTACAAGCAGGTTGAAATGACGAGGTAACGTACAGCCAACAGCACTCCCCTGAATATACACAGAAACCTGTGCAGGCTGTATTTTCCAGCAATGTCAGTGAATATATTTCCACTAAGGTCGATGGAACTACGCTCATATAATCGTAGAATCATTCAGGTTGGAAAAGTGCCTTCAGATCACCGAGTCCGAACATTAGCCTTTGGCTTTGCTTAGTTAATAGAAACACAAATTTTTATTTAAGAATCCATTGCTTAAGTAATGCACAAAAATCTCCGTTCTACAGGGACGATGTCTACAGGGACGATGAGAGCTTTACAGGCACTCCTAAAATACCCCACACTTTCCTCCCACGAATTGTGAAGAAGGTGTCTCTAATAACATATTTACTGGCTTTTTTTTCAATAATTTCTGTCATGAATTCTGTAAAACTTGCTTTAATTTTGATTAAATCAACTTTTCCTGGCGTCTTTGCAAGCAGAAGTCATTTTTTGACCGCCCCCGCTGAGCGTGCGCTTGCTGCTCTGCTCGCTCGCAGCGCCCGACAGGAGCGAGCCAGCTCTGGCGATGGGGTTTACAAAGACAACTTGGGTTGTCTGGCTCCGTTTCACAGAGTTCTGATTTCATCCATCTGGTCACTACAGCGGAATTTATGGTTCTGGGCCAGAAAAAGTGACAAAAGATTTACAGGAGTCCTGGTGTTCACCTTGAATGGGGACTGACTGATTAAGCACAGAGGTACATCTTCAGCACCCAGCAGACCCCTGAGAGCTGAAAGTAACTGAATTATTTCAGAGAAGGCCTGTCATGAAGGTTGGAAAAGACCTCTAAGATCATCAAGTCCAGCCGCCAACCCAACACCCCCATGCCTGCTAAACCAAATGAACTGGTGAACATGCTACCATTCTGGGTAGGCATTATTTTACCTCTTTGACAGGTAAGTTTTCTTCACAGGTCATTAAGTATAACCACATATAAGAAAAACAGAGACAACCCCCCTATGATTTTGGGACAGTTCAATAATAGAAGTGTTTCCTACAAAACCCTCCACTACACCGAACGGAAAAAAGAAATCATCTTTGTGGGACTGAGTGCACCCTCAGCGAGTTTGCTGATGACACCAAGCTGTGTGGTGTGGTTGACACGCTGGAGGGAAGGGATGCCATCCAGAGGGACCTGGACAGGCTGGAGAGGTGGGCCTGCGTGAACCGCATGAAGTTC